AATCCCCGACTGTTCCGGCAGAAATTAGACAGACTCGTGCAGAATAACATCGTAAATGCCAAAACCAACCGTGTTCCTCTGTCGTCACAATGCGCTAAGTCTGTTCAAAGAGAGCAGAATTACTACACCGTATTGAAGGAATCCTTCCCGGAAAAATTGTGATTTTATTTCATCCATAAACCACTGGCTTGGGACCCATCGTTCACGATAAGAATGAAAAGAACAGAAAAATTGCATTGTTTTGGTAAACAATTCGAAAAACTGAAAGGCTGCTACGCGTTCAAATTCCGCCGGACATCTGTCACAAATGCTGGCGGTGGGAACGCTTCCACTTGGTTCACGGAGTGCTGTCACTAGAAACTCTTTTTGACCTTTTGACTTATTGCACTAACATCTCACACTTCTTAGGCATCCTAATTTCGATCGTTTTGCCTTTACAAAATCGCACGTTTTAACCCGACCAGATTGGTCCCCCGGCAACCACCGGGACCTCCTTACCTGCGTAAGCTTTACTCCTTCCAATGTGCTCCCATCCACTGGTGACATGGACACCTCGTGGAGGTGGCACGCATGCACAAAAAAGTGTCTTATATAGTAGAAGGCATTACCGTAATCGTGACATGACCTTAGAATGATATTAATTGGACCTCAGGTCTTTTGGCGGTTAGCTCCCCTCGCCCTTCTCCATCTTATCCTATTCCCTCTACTGCTCTCCAGCTGCTATTGCAGCATCATGTGGAATGAATGAGACCATGCTCAGTAGGTGTTTATATAGCCGTTGGGGTGTTATCACATTGATAGCACTGCAAAACATTGATTGCTAAAGTCATAGTTACTCGATTTTGTTAACGGTCTGTTTACTTCACGAGTTTCCCTACCACTTCATTTTGCGGACGGACACACATACATACATACATACACACATACAGACATACAAACCGACACACAAAGTTAGCGCTTTATAAAATAGAAGGATTCCGTAACATTGCATTGTCAACAATTTTCGACAATCTCCGTGTTGTGGGTGGGCAGTCAGTCTTGCCTTTATGCTCAGCACTTCCTATCTACCGATGGTGCTCCTATCCTGGGAGATAATCTGAGTCTGAAGGAGGGGATTGTGATAAGTCCTTGCAGTCCAAATTTATATCTTGCAAGAGGCCCAAAGTATGTATCTTTGGTTCAATGATTGGTGCTCCCATATTTCTTGCAAAACCACCACTGATGGCTAAAGTTGACTCTTCACTAGCACTGATCCACTGAGCACTGGGCAGCGCTTTATTCAAGGATCCGACAGCAGAATATCTCTTCATCTTTGACGACGATTGAGAAGTGGAGCCCATTACGAAATTGAGACGAAGTTTCTTGTAAGCCTTTTTTTCCTTCGATTGGACATCATTGAGAAGTCGACATTTCATTTTTGTAGAGCTTCTCTTAAAAGCAAAGCCCGGAGTTGAACTGGTGTATTATTGCGGTTGCAAGCGAGAGCGGAGACGAGACACGTAACGCCAGCAATGGAGCAACGGGAAAAACCGTCGACATGGCTGAAAATGAAACCCTCTCTCCACCAGCACCACCAAAGTGAAATAGCATCGATTTCTGGGCAGGCTCAATGGTGCTGAACGAGGCCAATGCTGCATCCCAGATCTCTAGCATTTCGGCATTGTGAAGTCAACCCAAAAATTGTATGCGTGCTTTCCGCCATCACCGCTTTCTGTAGGAAAAGCTTAGACCAGAATCAGAATCTTGCACCATGCTTTCGAGGAGTGCGTTGACAACACGTCGCAAGGACGCTTTTGAACTATTGGAGCGACAAAGACAGATCAAGTGAGCTAGGAATGTGATGAATACTATACCTTCAAGGGCAGCGGTTCCCTTTTGTCTGTTTCTCCTTTGTCACGTTTGATACGATCCAGTTCCTTAGCAGATACGAATGCATGTGTTTGTGGTTGTTCTCTGGAGATAAATTGGTTCAACAATTTTATTGATTAGTTTCGAATCTATGAAACCTCACCTGTAAAAATAGAGAAACATCAGAAACAAAATACAGGTGACAAGGGCATGTAAATAATAAACAGATGGCCATCCAAGAGAGGAGGTACACAACGCTGCAGCGACAGGCATTGTAAATATGGGACCAATCTAAAGGTGCGACAGTCGTCCCATGAGCAATCAATGATCTTCTCATCCATTTCCCCATCTCATATTCTTTTAATATCAATTTTTTTCAGCGCAGTTCTCGCTGGCACACCTCCTACATCTATTGGCATGTAATATTTCCGCAAAGAGACGAAAAGCTGCGCTTCTTCCATGCAAGACTATTAAATATGTCTGCGCCTTTCAACAAAACCGCACCTTACCTGGAAAAAACATGTTAGAAAAGCGATAAAAAATGCGTTCTGTTTTTGCATGGATCATTGCCGAGTGACAGTACCAATAAGAATGAATCCAGTCGAAAGACCTGTACCCTGGAAGCAGTACCTTAAATGTTAAAATATTGTTTTCATGATAAAAAATGAGTCAAATAGTCAAAAGCATGGGTTTAGATGGGATTCTTATATTATTTTGTTTGAAAATCAGATAATGTAGTGAAATCACCATAGGAAGCTCTAAGGTGAGACCTACCGTGGCATGACGGAGAAACATAGCGTTGCGAGGAAAGGGAAAAGGCGAGAGAGTTTGTCGTATGTGAGAGGGCACGGACACCACGTGGGCTGGGATTGAAAAGATGGACAGCGGTCGCAGCGGTGAAGGCATTAGCTCCTCTCTCGCGCGAAAGCACACCATTTCTGTGCTAGAGGTCCTGCTACTTCCACTCGATGAGTGAACTTCTCGAGTGAAGTAGCAGGACTTCTAGCGATTTTCTTAAGATATAAGCGGTAGCGATCCACGGATATCTTACTGATAAAAATAGACAAAAGACAAGCTCTCATCTCTAAGCGCGGCTTGCCCCAATTAGATTAAACTAAAAATTAATAAAATGAGTCAATACCCTACCTGCAGAAATCGCATTACAACCATCCAATAGAACCCAAGATAAGCACACAGTGGAATAAGTGCAGTACAAAGAGCAGAGAAAAAGCCGAAAAGCGTCACAATTGATCTGGTGCCGAACTTCTGCAATGTATTTTTGATTGGTTACTATTTTTCATTTTTTCTTCGAATAATTGATTCGTTAGCCCTGCGTAGGACAAGGAATTTCCCCAAATTTGATGTTTGGTACAGTTACTGAAAGGATAAACAGCTACTATTAATCATATTTTCAGCTGCGCCACGCACTCTATTACCATACAGTATCGGAATTTGTTTAAGATTTGGAGTACAAAATGTCCAGTGGGGACAGCGAAACGCAGGTGTTAGAATCTAAGGCAAGCCGAGTTGAGCCAAGTGGCGACTACGAACAAATGGAAAGCTTAATCAACCAGAAGATATCCGACTTTCGATCCTTATTCTCATAGGCTGCGTGAAGAGCGTCACCTCACCCTCCGCATAACCTCCATCCCATCAGCTAGTGTATGAAAAAAATACAAAACAAACAACTTCAATTCAGCCCACTCTTCAGTCGAACAAGTTCTACTGCTTACCTATCAACAAGAGAACTTTGCCTCTCAAATATATTATAGTAACCTTCAATCGCATTAGAGCGACTGCTTCAAAGGCAGTGGTCATGATGACTGGGGGGCGGTTTTCATGACATCATCACACACTGTTGATTGATTGACCAGAGCTTTCAGCGCGTTGGGGGCGTGGTTGGAGCGACATCCTCAACCTCTTTCCACCACTGACGCTCAGTGACGTCGTCGGAAAGGCTCCGTCTTATAGTAGTCGCGTTCACTGTCTTTAAGGCTTTCCGTGCAGACCATAGCAATTTCTTATTATTTTCACCGCAAATCGTTTCAATGAAGTAAATACTTTACACTTGGGGTCTTTTGTAATTATCGATTCTCGGACTATGACGGAGTTCCCCCATATTCTCATGAATTGGACCTGCTTGTTTGCCGTTCACACAAGTTATGACTCACTTCGTTCCCAAAAATGTACAACTTCGGCTTAGCATATGCTTAACGAGGGTACGCCAGATTAATTTGCATAATAGGCTTGCTGGGTTGGTTCCTGCTCAAGAGTTTGAAAACCGAGGTAGTTGAGTGAGGATAGCAAAAGAAGTATGGAACACTAGTGCTTGCATATCCCGCCTAACAATGAGTCTAAAGAATAATTTTCCTTTCAAAAATTGAGAAGAAACGCTCGGGATAATGTCAGAGCAATTCCTGGTTAAAAGTAAACAACAGTGCTATCCTCACTGACAACGAGCACAATATGCAGTGCGACAGAAAGGACAAATCACCGCAAATCTTTCGTTCGCCGTAGGCGATAGAATTGCGCGGCAGTTAATCGTTCCGGAATTGCCGCTAAGGTGACGCCGAGCGTCATATTCCGCTGAGCGACGTGTGCTAAAGGCACCCATTCAAGAAAGGACAAGAAGCTCGTTGCGCGGCTAGAAGGCAGAATCAGCGGACGAGTGACAGTGCGTGATGTGCGATGTAGGACGTACAGTAGTACATTCTTTACCTTGACGCGAAATCACAGCAGCATGCGCTGCGACTCGTCCGCTGACTCTGCTTTTCCGCCGCGCGACGGGCATGCCGGGTCCCCGTTCCATGCATTACCAATACTTGAGCGATCGAAAACTGATGCCTGATAAATTTTAGCAGCTTGCTCGTTTTAGAGGCGGATGGTACTAAAAAAGGTTGTCGGGTAGAACTGTAAGTGAATGTGGTTGAGGGTGTAGTGGTGCAAAAAAGAACTCAAGAGACTATGGCCTAACTGGGGAAGTCAGATCCACAAGGAACTTTTATTTGAGACTCGATGTTTCGATAGAACCTCAAACACGTACAGTGGAACTTAAGCGTTACAAAAAACCGTGCTAGAGTCTGGAATTCAGAATCCTCGTGGAGTAGAAATTTGCACTCCAACAGGAGAAGAACTCATCACGCTAACCCTTGTGCGCAGCGAAAGTCTACATATATCTACGGTGCCTTGTGCCTTGAACGCTAGGCTCATTATTTACTTCTCTAGCCGACTTGATGCTCAACAGCTTGCAGGTTCATTTCTCAGTCAGTTTCAATTTCCGTAATCGGCGTTCGAAGCTCTATCGATGTATCCAGGTCTTGATTCGAAGTTCCATGAAAGCTGGTGAGATCCCAGGGACCCTTTTTCTGCCTGTTCGATTTACTGTTGGACGAGCAAGCGATCGATATGGGATCGATTATACGTGTTGATCCTTATATGTAGCTAGTATCATATCAACGACCATCATCCTTCCGTTGATAACGTTACCTATAGAATAACTCAAAAGATACGGTCGCTCAACGTGAGTACCTTCTTCAAAATGAAGAGCAAAGTAAGGCGGGCAGTATCGGCCTTCAACCAATCATAGCCCGAGGCCTCCGCGCTGAGGCTGGCCACACCACGGCAGGGTTGCGCTTTGCAGAGTTAGTATCCTAGACTGCGATGAGCGGCGTCTTCGCCACGACCACAAGCTCTTTTCGTTATTTGGGGGCCGGATTCTTTATATAGGCATATTTCCTTCTTCTACAAACATGTACGTAAGTACAAGCTCCGCTTTCAGTAAAAGACAACACAGTTAGTGTTGTTGCGAAACAACAAGAATCGTGGCGGGATACGCGCATGTATCATGATTTTCACTTCTATCGAGACGAAATCTTAATTCCAGCAGGTTGCACTACCCCACGTCACGAAACACAAGGGCATGTTCGTTTCAATGTTTGAAGGAGATGTCAGTGAGTATGGATGGATACCACTTTCCTGAGCAGAGCTCAATACACGCTCGTGGTTTCGGCACATCGTGTCAACGTCAGCAACATTCGACCTTGAGGGTTCCTTAGAGCAACAACCTCACATGAAATTGGTGGGGTAACAACACGTAACAGACTGTTTTCATTCGCATACGTTGCTTGATGAACTAGTTGGCCGGCATCCTCAAAACATTGACGACATTGAGAGCACGTATCGCATCTTACCTTGCGCACCTCCTTGGACCTTGAGACGCATGCGGTCTACGCTTGTATCCTTTTTCTAGCGTATGCGGGATTCTCCAAGTTGGCAGTCTGCTATTCTGGATATATTCTGAAATACAGTTTTGTAGCACAACTGTAAAGACGTGCGCGCGTGTATGGATCAAATACGCTTCATTTAACCAGTTTTAGTGCACACGGGTATTGGCAGCTCGGTTCATTCCTCGTTTTCTTCCTATTCTCACGAACATTTCAATGAGAAAGGATAGTGAAAGTGAATTCAAACTTAGCACATTGCGGACCGAAGTTATACGAGGATATCCGTACCTTTTTTATGTTTTGTGAAAACACATTATCATTAATGTACCAAAAATACATGTTTCACTTGGCAACATATCAAATAATTTTGGCATCCACTACAGAGAAAAGGACTGAAGTTTCCTTTTTCATTACCATTACACGTTCTTTAATCGGAATTTTGCCACTATATCCTGATTATCTTCTACGCATTGAATATTGCTGAAATGGTTTTTGTACCAGTGATGATGCTTTTAGAGTTATCGTACGAAATTTACGATTGCTAGGTGCGGCGGCCGCGCTCGCAAAATCGTCCCTGTCCCAGGATTATCAAAAAGCCAAAATGCGCGCTGTCCTCAACGTGTTTAATTTGACCTAAGCTAAAGTTCACTTTCGAACACAGAAAAGCACCTGAATTAGCCACATTACTGGATAGACAGCCACCATTGCGCCGATGGCCCAAACGAAAATAAATATTCTTCTCATCTCGGCGAGTAAGCATATGTGGTATGTCGAGCATAAACTGCCTGATCATGTTCCAATAAATCCGACGAGTTGCCAACCTAAACGACAAAAATATGTACTTTGAGCTCAATCCCTCACAATACTTACAACGAATCGGGAGCAGGTGGTGACTACATTCTATTTTAAAGGCATAGTCCTATCGGAACATGAAACTATTCTAATCTACACGTCTACTTGCTGTGATAATGTATATAGTTCTGCTACCATTGCGATAAACTAAAGGCAGCCTGCACGACAGTTCGGTTGCGCATATAGCGCGTTATGTATGATGAGGAGAGAGATGTCCAAGCAGGCTTCGGTTCCGTCCCTTTGATTAGAATCCTTCTGTATATTTACTAGTTGTTGCCCCCAATTCGAATAATCACCGATAGGTTACCGTTCATGATCCCCTTGGCGTGATCAACAAAAATGCAGATGAAGTGATATCTAATCGAAAAGCCTCATAGGACCACCCGAAAATCGCGTCCATGATCCCAAAAGGGCTTAGGAGTTAAAGAATGCGATAACAGAACCATTTTTCATTGTTCCTGAACGCCCTCTGAATGCCAAAAGGGGTCCCTAGTTCGATTCCTCGTGGTGACAAATTTTTGCATTTCGAGTTGACGTTCCAAAATTCGCGCAAAATGGAGTTAGCATGAATAATTAGTACCATATTCATGATTAGGACCGTCAGTAACCCTTACAAAAAGACTTTGACTTAAAAATTGGTGTAAGAGGTGTGACATCAAGCAGCCCCACTGTGGTGTCACACCTTTTTCACCAGTTTTTTAATCAAAGTCTATTTGTAAATATTGTGTGACGGTCCCCTCCGCCCCGCGTGACACCAAGCAGCCCCGCTGTGGTGTCACACCTCTTACACCTATTTTTAGGTCAAAGTCCTTTTCTAGGACATCCGAAGTACATAATTCGAACCGCTGGTACACCGCTCTAACCACTGGCACATCATCCTATTCGTAAAGTCTAACACCGGCCTAATCATAAGACCTTATCGGGATTTCATCTACAGACCATTCGGTGTTGCCGCGTTCGGTAGACAATAGCAATCGATAGACATAAGTGTGCATAGAAGCAGAATAACAAAGCGTGTATGGTTCTTGAAAAAGAATCGATGTCGCGACGTGAGCGCAAGCCGATCACTTGGTCGGGTTACGGTGAATACCGTGCTGAAATTACAGTTGTTGGCAATCGCGTGGAAACAGCGTTCATAGCTGCTTTTAGCAAAAAAGTTTCCTTCAAATCAGTAATTTCTAAGAATTGTAGAAATAGCCCGATCTAAAACTGGAACCTCTCTCCACTTACACTTACTACGCAAATTCTCAGCACCACGTCCACAACCTACATTGAAAATAGTGGCCCTCTTCTCATTGAAAATCTACGGGAGGCCCTCTTCTCAATGAAAACACGAGGGATGGCTGACCCTGTAGGGGGTTTCAGGAGACATTTCATATAAGAAAGGCACACATATTTTTCAGGCAGAATCGCATTTTCAATTTTAATCGATATTTTGATCAGCTCGGTAAACCGCGGAGTAGATAGCTATGAAGCGTCTGCTTGCCATATGTGGGAAGAGTGACTGGAGCGGCAAGAGAGCAGGTGAAGGCGTGTTTATTCTATATGAAAAAAACGTATCCAATGTTCTTAATCCCTCACGACTGCCAGCATTATACGAAGTTATACGAAAAATTGTTTACGTAAAAAAATCATGCCCTCTGAAAATTATAGGCGCGGCCCACCGTCCCCCTCGCTAACCTTGCATATCGGACAGTCGACCCTGGTCTCAACTGAGAAGGATCGTCTAATCCCCGCGAGTTACGTAGCAGTTAAAAGGTGTTTTAAACGTGGATAAATAGTTTAATGTTCTAGTTATGCTGGATTGCAATTTGAATGAGCAACTTTTTGAAAAGGGATCAAAATTCATTGCACACTTGAGATGGGATTACGGTAGTTTTTGGTTACAATCTCTCCCCATTCCTCAAGAAACACCACAAGGAATTAGTGCTAGATTTAGTGGGAGGGTTAGTCAGTGACCTTTACTATAAATTAAATCAGTTTATTAACATTTAGAATCATGGAAACTGCTGATCGCCAGATAATGCCACTCCGGAACCCAGTTTTTGGACACACTCGGACGAGATCGATACTTATTAGTCACTTTACCTTTACTATAAATAAACGGACGTCCATATCTAACAATCAGGCTCTTAAGGCTCATCATGTGGGGAACCGTAGATTCTGTGATTCATAACTCTTTGATGTCAACTCGCGTTTTGACTTTTTTGGTCGCGTGGGACCGGGGCGATTTTGCGAGCGCGGCCGCCACAGATCGTTCAAGCCGATTTTGGATGGTAAATACATAAAATATAATATAATGGACCATGAGCTAGATGCAGTCCATGATCTCAGTGCGCATAGGCTACTTAAAGATGCAAGATGTACAGTGGTGGAATAAGCGACGTGAAGTAGCAATGAAAAAGCAAATAATATCAGGCCTAGCTTTAAACGGGCCAGCAGTAAAGAAAAAAAAAGAATCCGTCGGAAACGCTTACGTTTAGAGCTTTACGTTTAGAGCTTCCTCACCTTCATAATAGGATGTACTAAGGCAATGAGAGACTAAGCGCGGAGAGGAAAGTATGTATGAGGCGAGAGAACGCAACAAATGAGAGGGAGCCTGACAAGTGAAAAAATTGTAGCTGAATCATCCCTACTATATATAAAACGCGATATGTGTGTATCCCTACTATATATAAAACGCTATGTCTGTGTGTGTGTGTGTGTGTGTGTGTGTGTGTGTGTGTGTGTGTGTGTGTCACGAAATTCATAGCACGCGTCGCAGCAGTCGTTAGGAGCTGATTTTTTGATATGATATAGGGGGTGGGACGGAACATATTTGGTGGGGGTACAAAGTGATAACGACTGATAAGAGCAGATAAGAGGCGCTGAAACACAAATTTCACGAAATTCATAGTGCGCTTCGCAGCAGTCGTCAGGAGCTGATTTTGGGACATGATATAGGGGGTGGGACGGGAACATATTTGGTGGGGGTCACAAAGTGATAACGACTGATAAGAGCAGATAAGAGGCGCTGAAACACAAATTTCACGAAATATAGTGCGCTTCGCAGCAGTCGTCAGGAACTGATTTTGGGACATGATATGGGGGTGGGACGGGTAACATATTTTGTGGTTTTCAAAAAGTGATAACGACAGCTGAGGACTGATAGTAACGATATGCGTACGAACGTAGAGATACTCGAAACCAGATTGCAGATAATGCATTTCATTTCAATATCATTTCATTAGCGTTATAATTGTAAACTCAAACACCTTTCGACCGCTACACCTTCTAGAGTTCTTGAGGATGAATGGGATGCTCGAATAAATATGATAATGAATACTGGGCATTCCGTTTTGAGATATTCGACCGCTAAATTACCTCGATACTCGACGCATGGTGGTTGTTTACATACATCACTTTAGCTGTGCACTTCACTGCGCTTATCAAACAGTGAGATACAGCCAAGATGGGCAACGGACAGTAATGCATTTAACGAAGCAGCTATAGTTAAGCGGTGAAACCCAAAGCTTCACCGATTGTCAAGTTGTCAGAGGCTTCCGTGTCATGCGCGCGGTAGCGGGCGGAGCTAAACTGGTCTAATAATATTTTGCAAGTACTAACGCCTTCTCGCCGGGGTGGATTTCTGTGCACGGGAATGCAAAATCTTTGATTGTTCTCTAAAGGTCTGTACTACAGAGCAGGGTGAAAATCGTCGAGTACTTGGTCGCAGAAGTACGACCTCATCCGAAATCGAGATAAATCCTGCAACCCCTAAATAAAAAAAAATCCTGCAAAATAATGTTATGGACGCCTCATCTTGTCATCTATGCACTGTCTTTCATCGCTGCACACTTTTGTGTATTTACTGAAATATCGACTCGAGGAAAGAGGCATTAACTTTGTGTGACCTCAAAGTCAGGTTCGTTCAGAAATGCACAGAAATCCTGAAGGCACGGGGTTGCGATTCAATCTTGATTCTTGCTTGAGTATATCAAAACAGCCGAGTGTATCAAAGGCCGATTCAACGGCAGCTGCGGCGCGATTGTCACTGGGTCAGATTTGCCGAAATTTCAAAAAAAACGTCCGAATCTACACCCTCGATGAAAAGGTTGCATTCCTCCATTTCACAACCTTTGAAGCAGCTTGAAATTGCTCTGAAAGCCTTCCATGCAGAAAGATAGGGTCTCTCAAATTTCGTCGAGTAAACGTCGAGGATGCTGAAATTTTCATGCTAGTTTTTGCCACTTCAAAAGCAATATCTCTCTAATGTCGTAAGTCCTTGAAAGGAAGACAGTTTTGGAAAGCGGAAGGTTTGCGCTTCCCGATGATCTGTTAGCTTTCTTCTCACATTTCTAGTTGAGGAGATATTTGCGTCGAGGATCTATCAAGGATGATTCTCGGCCGCTCAAAAAGCCGCTCCCTTCTTCACCATTGCAAGTGTAATTGTTGGCAACGCTTGAAATGGGTCTAGAAAACATCCTCCCAACATAAGCAATAGGAAAAGGGGCAATCGTCATCATCGAATTTTGTCTGAGTATAGGCCATGCATCCGACCTCACTCGAAGTTGCAGAATCGATTCGAAGGTGTCATATGATCATGACCAGTTGACAGAAGCTGCATTGTAGTAAACGCATTTCGTAACTCCTACAACCTAAAGAACAACTTCATTTGCCCAGGGCTTTTCCTTCACGGTTGTCGTTTTTGCGACAGGGTCCCTAACAACAGTGTCATTCTCAGCGAGGTATTAAGGGAGAAGGAGCGAGCGATAGGCAGAGGAGGTGCCTTTGCAGCGCGTGCGCACATGTGGCAGTCTTCTTTGCGGGGATGCACTTTCATTCTTTGTACTGCCTTCAAATACGCCCTTCTCATGAAGGTGGAGGAATGGAGCGACTGAACCTGCAAAGAAAATTTAATATCATGTTTTTTTCAGATATTTTCATTTTCTGCTGCGCTAT